GTGCATGAGGTTGACGCTACTTTGTTGCACCTGGAGGGAAGAACGTATGGGAGAGGAAGGTGCGCGGGGCGCGGGCTGGCGCGACAGCGGGCGGTCGGGCGGGCTAGGGCACCGCGGCAGGGGGAGCTAAGGGCACGGGAGGGGGCCGGGCCGCCGCGGAGGCCGGGTCTGCCGCGAGGCCGCGCCCCTGCCGCCTCGGGGATGAGCTAGTCCTAATGAAGCCCACAGGCCCCTCCCTGACATCCTCCCACCCCGTTTCCCCCTCAGCCCTGGGTGAGCTGCTCGCTGCCCTCCTGCCGGCTGAGGGCCCCTCGCCCTTTTCATCCCCTGCTACCCCCAAGTCCTGACTGCCGGCCACCTGGAGGGATTCCAGGCACTGCCTGTCCAGCTCCGGTCTCCATCCGCGTGTTCTGTCCACCCGGGCCTCGCCCTGGGGCCACCCTTTATCCAGTCTCTAACACGCCTGAGAAGAAAGAGTGACTGGGGAAGCTGAAGCCCTGGATCTGAGTCACCGCCCCGCACCTGCCCTGTTCTTGACCTTGAGCCAGGCACTAACCCTCAGTTTCCCTGTCTGTACAGTTGGGAACCTGGTAATTGGCCCCCAGTACTGGTGATTGGGGACCAGACAGGCCAAATAAAATATGCGTCCAGGGAACCGGAGACAGTATACTGTGGGACCCTCTCTCCTCCCCTTCTGCCTGCACTGAACCTGGTGCAGTCCTGACTGGGAGGATGACTGCCATTCTTAGCCCCTTCCCCCCTCACTGTCACTAAGGCTTAGGGCTGCACAGTAGTTAGCCTTCAAGACTCCAAGACTTCTCCAAGACCCTTCTCCTTCCTTGGGTTTCCTTTGCAGATCCATCACATAGGCCCAGCTGGTCCCAACACAGGTCCTTACTTTGCTAGCCCTGCCTGCCCCCCACTACCACCGGCCCTCCCCAGGCCCATGAAAACCTGCAGGGGGCAAGGGCCTGGATCCCTGCCTTAGGTCCCTGGGTTCACAGAGGGGCAGGCCATCATGACCTTGGAACCTAGCTGTGTGACCAGGCAAGTCTTGCCCTCTCTGAAGCTCAGTCTCTCCATCTGTACAGTGTGGAGGGCCAGGCCTAGGGCATCTTACAGGACCCACCCCTCCAAGGGTGCTAGGCCCCAGGGATGACTAAGCATGCCTAGTGGCCAGTTTGAGGAGGTGCCAGGCCTCACTAGGGCAGGTGTCTGGGAGTGCCTGTTTCCGCAGCCCCTGCCCTCATCAAGCCAGGGCACAGCCAAGGGTCAGTAAGAACCAGCTCCTCTGGGCTTCCTGCCCTTACCCTCCCAGGGGACTTCAACCTAGTATGTATCATCCCAGCCCTGTCCAGTCCCTGCCTTTTGAAGGGCCCTCTTAGTACTTCTTCCTGGGCAGAAAGAGAAGGAAAGGGGATTATGACAAGAGAGTAACTCACTGCCTTGTTTCTAAATCCACTGTTTTGTTTTCTCCCCATTGACCTTGCCAGACCCCGAGGTAAAGAATGCTATTACTGGAGGGTGGTCATCTGATCCCCCTTCTCGGTTTACAGAAAGGGAAACCAAGGCCCAGAGAGGGTTGGTAACTTAGGAAGTATCTCTACAAGACTCGGGCCAACATCCTTTCTCCTGCTTTGGCACAGTGACTCCTCAGTGGGTGCTGCATGTGTGCACACACAAGGATTTATACAGGTGCATGTGGGTCAGCAGGGCCTGCACATACTGCAGATCCTAAGGATGGGTCCCGGCTTCCTTTCCACCCTGCAGGAAGTGAGTTGCCTGTGTGTGCACGCTGTGGCCAGAGGATCTATGATGGCCAGTACCTCCAGGCCCTGAGTGCTGACTGGCACGCGGACTGTTTCAGGTAGGTCGGATTGTGGGGTACCACGGCTTGCCAGAGAGGACAGACTGGGCAAAGAATCTGGGAGATCTGGATAACCCTCCTGCTGCTGTCCCTGGTTGCGATTTCCAGTGAGTCCCTACCTCACTATCCCCATCTGTAAAATAAGGAGTTTCTAACAGCTTCCCTTGTTTTGTTATTTTAGACCTCTAAGGAAAAAATGGGAGGCCCCTACATTTCGTCCAGTATTTCCAAGACCTGCTGTAGTGTACCTAGGCAGGGGAAGTGTTCCCTGCTGGAGGAGAGGGACAGAACAGGCCTTAAGGAAACTGAGCCACCTTCATTGCCCCTCGGGCTGATTATGAAGATACAGTCCAGTAGGACTAGCCCAGCCTCCAGACACACACATCCACTCACATGTGGGAGGAACATGGGGTCAGGGCTGTGGCCAAGGATGAAGAGCTCATGGAACCCAAAGGTGGCCCAGTCACCCAATAGAACCATCCTGAGAAGCCAGGTGCAGAGGATAGCCTTGGAGTTGGCTATAGGACCACAGCAGGGATCTCAAAGGGTGTGAGATTTCCTGAGTAGAGAAGTGTGGTAGAAAGGCATTATAGGCACAGTCGGCTACCAGCAATGCTGGGGGAGGAAAGCACCATCAGGGAGGGAAGGTGAAGTGCTTTGGCATGGTGGGGGGTTATTTTAGGCTTCTAACAGGGTTTGGCTTTTTTTTTCTTTTTGAGGAATAATGTCTAACATTTTCTAACATTTAGTAAAGGATAACCACTGTTCTGAGCACTTGGCATAGTTAGATAATCATGTTGTCTCTACCAAGAAATTAGGGCACAGAGAGGTTAATATTCTTGACAAAAGCATATAGCCATTGAGTGAAATGAATGCACAGTGCCCATACTAGCTGGTGAGGCCAGAAGAGACGCAGGCCAACACACCTTGGGGTTCCATATCAGGTGCTCAGAAGGAGGCCTTTGGAGAGAAGAGAGCTTTTGACAGGCAGAGAAAACCACTGCATAGAGAGGGAAGATAGTGCAGACTCTTGAGGGAGCAGGAATAGCTCATTAGGTGGGAACAGTGTGAGTCAAGGAATGCAATGAGCTGATGTGGAGCTTGATTTGCAAAGGGGCCTGTGCCAACATAAAGACCTTCTGAAGATGGTAGGGAGCCAGCAGGAAGCAGGGTGGGACTGGAGCAAATGTGCTGAAGAATGCCATCCCAGAGAGTGGATGGTGGAAACCTAGCGGGGAAAGGGCTATCGTAATAGCTCAGGAATCCGAGCCTATAAAGTCTGACCTGGGACAGTGACTGAGAATGAATTTCAGATGCAGAAGGGACAGTTTTGGGCAAGTTTTAGCCACACTGGCACCATTTATCAATCGCTATTAATGTCAGTTCATTGAGCCTTCACCATACCTAAATGCAGAGAAGTCAGGTGCCTTGCCTTCCTGAAGATTGCAGTGGTTAGAGCTGAGACTCAGACTGGCCTTCTCCCTCCAGATCACTACAAAGTGGAAGAGGTGAGGAGCTTTGGAGAACAGGGTGGGAGCTGGCAGATGGCGGGGTGCACCCCCAGACTGGTTCTCTAACCTGGGCACTGCGAAGGGCATTGACTGGTGGAGTCGAGCCAGGCAGGAAAAAAGATATGCTCACCCTTGTTGAGTCAGAGGTGCTGTGGGCTATCCAGATTGTGATGCTCTGAGCTGGCCAACAGAGTCTGACTCCAGTTGGAGGTAGGAAGGCCAGAGAGAATGGCCCCCTCAGAGCTGGTGCTAAGGCAGTAGAAGGGATATGTAACAAGGGCCTAAAAGAATCAAGGAACGAACTTTGTAGGCCCCTGTGCTTGGGGTAGGGAGGGAAATGAAGTCTTGTAAGATGGGTGAGGGACCAGGAGTGTAGCCACAGAAGCCACAGGAGGAAAAGTGAGGAAGGATGTGTGTACCTAGCTGTGGAATGGCCTGCCCTGCATCACTTGAGGCCCCAAGTAGGAGCAGGAAGGAGAAGGTATGTTTGGGTTGTCCCTGATGTAGGGGGACACAAGGAAATATCCCACAAAGCCACAGCTTCCACAAGTATTCTTGGACCCATGGTGTGCAGTTCTATCAGCAACCCTCAAGGCGGATGAGGCTGTATTCTCACTGCTTGGCAGTTGGAAAAGCAGCTCAGGGCTCACAGATTGCCTGGGCACATGGCTGACCAACAGCCAGGCTGCCTCTTGATGGGATGCCCAGGGCACTAGATTCTGCTCAGTTTCCTTCCAGGAGCCTCAGTACCATGAGGTGGGGCCACACTAGCCCCTGGGCTCCAAGGCCTTGGGCCCAGCTCAGACCTCACTTGATGGTACAGAGACCCTAGTTCTAAGGCCCCAACCCCTCTGAAGGTGCTCAGGCAGGGGGATGTGACAAGGCTACAAGGAGCCTGCAGCCTCCAGCTGGTTCCTGTGCCCCCAGGTAAGGGGAGGGGGGCCCAGTGATTGGCACCTATGTCTGCCCTTCCCACTTGCATCTCCTAGGGTCCCTGAATCAGTCACTTACAAATAATTATAGAGCACCTACTCCGCACAACAACCCATGAAGTGGGGGTGCTGTTTATTAAAGCGATTTTACAGGTGAGGTAACTGAGGTGCCAAGAGTTTCACTGCAAGTGGTAGTAATGTTAGGACTGGAACCCAGGCAGCCTAGCTTCAGAGCCTGTAGTATAGTCACGGCTTGGTCTTGCCCCCCGACCCCCAGACCAACAGGGTCCCTGTCTTCTAGTGGTCAAGATAGCCAGTGAACAAATGCAATGGCAGGGCTGGGGAGATAGCACTCTGAGGAAGTGATGTTTGAGTGGAGAATCAAAGGGAGTGAACTTTAGAGGATCTAGGAGGAGTACCTGCAAGGTCCCTGGGGTGGGCATGTGCTACACCTGGAACAGTGAGGGGGCCAGTGTGCGGAATACAGTCAGCCAGGCCAGGAGCCTTGTGGCCCCTGTGGAAGGTGCCTATAGCTATGCTTTGCATCTCATAATCTGAGTACCTAGCACTGTACCTGTCCCAAAGCCCCTGCCCTTGAGGATGTGCCAGGCTGGTGGGACAGGAAAGGTTACAGATACAGATAGTGAGGAGCACTAAGCCAGGAGCAGGTGCTGCCTGGAGAAGAATATCACCCCCCTCTGTGTAGAGTGGGATGCTCACTGCAGGCCATGGATGCCCCTGGCATTAGCGCTGGGGGCTTGTCACCTCAAAGCACACCTCCTTCTCTGTTCCAGCATCCCATCCTGTGGGCCCCACCTCCTGGAAAATGATGGCCAGCCCCAGAGTGTGGCTTACCTTCCACTCATCTGTTGCCTTTGCAAGATCCCCCCTCAGAGGCCTCTATAACTGCAGTAGCATCTCCCCAGAGGTTGGATGGGCTGGCCCTGGGTGAGGAGGGCTGAGTGTGTAGCTGGTCAGGTCCAAGCCTGGGCCAGAATGCAGCCTTCCTTTTTTCAGGGGACCTTGTAGGCAAGGACAACAAACTGTCCATAGGAAGTCAACCTCTGTCCCTTTGGAGGCAGCACTGGCAGAGGCAGCTACTTTTGAATTTGTCCCTATCTCCAGAGGGGCCCAGCACTCAGTGCCTTTTGCCTTTGTCAAGGAAGAGGCAGAGGTGCAAGCAGCATACCTTTCTCTGGGTGTGCAGGGCCGAGGGCTGTGTGTGCAAGCACCGAAGGCCAGCCACAGCCTCCCTGCCTAGGGTCAGATTCTAGATCCCCATCTGCACCAAAGCCCAAGCAGAAGGTGCTTCAGCTGCTTCCTGTTGCAGTCTCAGACCAAGTCCTGTCGCCCCCACATGGCTGCATCCTCCTCCCCTGCGGTGTGGCCACACTGGCCCCACCCTCTGCAGCCTCCAATCCTGAGACCCTGGAGTAGGATGGGGAAGCGGCTGGCCCAGCTACCCCTGCACTCCTGTAGGCCTCCAGAGCCCCCTGACATAGCTGCGAAGGATGCTGCTGTCCTCAGCCCTGAAAAGAAGGCGCTTCCTCAGAGGGGCTAAGTAAGTGGAAAGTCTCCTCCCCACCAGTTTCAGTCCTCAGGCAGGGCCCCTGGTGTGAGGCCTGGGGCCGGACCTACATGGGCCTTCACTGTGGGGCAGAACTGAAACTCAGTCACTGTTGGTGGCGGTCGGGTAAGTGGGCCTCTGCTGAAGCTTCTAGCCCTTCTGGTAGATTCTCTCATGAGTCTGGTCCTCCAGCTGCTCTCTCTTTACCCTGATGTTTAAGGATGTGGCCCTGGGCAGGGGGCACACTGAATCCCAGCCCAGTCAGCCTTCTGTACCACATGCCCCTTTGTGCCCTCCTGGGAGCCTTCCCCCTCTTTTCTCCTGGCTTTGTCTTCCCCTCTCTCAAGGAGGGTTATCCTATAGTGGGGCCAGGGAACAGCTCTCTCCCTTGGGGTTCCTCTCTGGCTGGCCCTGGGGCAGTTCCACACAACCACTGTAGCTGGTATGTGTCTTGTGGCATCCTTCATGGGACAGGTGGTCTGTGTCAGGCACCCCAGAGAGCCAGGCCTGTCCCACTCCACCTGCCACCTCCAGCTCCTGGAGGGATGTGCAGGGGGAGGGGCTGGAAAGGGTCAATGCCTTCAGTCAGCAAAGGCCCAGTGTGGCCTTGAGTGCCAGCCACAGAGCCACTGTGTGAACCTGGAGCAGCTGAGGATGTTGAGTACACAGTGCAGGCCTGTCCTACAGGGACTGCTGTGTTATCTTCTGGGATAGGCAGTGTGGAGACCCCACCTGAGACCTCAGAGAGCTGGCAGGCTACTGGCAGAGACTGGTGGACAGACAAAGGAGGGTGGTAAAGGCTTCAAGGAAGTGGTGACGAGAGGAGAGTCCTTGGGTGAGTCATCACTGGGTCACAGCAGTGATGAGTGTTTGTAAGTGAGCGATGAGTGTAAGTGAGTGGGGGAGTAAAGACGGAGGAGTGGGAGTTTCCAGGCAGCAGAAGAGCATTCCCTCTACAGGAGGGGACGGCTGCTGCTCCCAAGCCCTCAGCCCCTCACCAGAAGGGCAGGAAGAACCCTGATTCCTACAGCGTGGTATGGTAGCCAGGACTAAGGGGGACACTCCTATGTGTGATTGGTGGGAGGGCAGGACACCGTGTCCCTGGTCCACTGTCTTGTTAGGTTAGAGCCCTCCAGGAGGCATAGCCCATCCTCCCAGCCTGCAGGGGATCTCCCCACCCCCTGTCCATGGCCATGTCGTCATCCACCAGCAAAGCCTGCACACCCCCCACTACAGGGGAACCAAGGCCCCCACTTCCTGGATAAACTCTCACCCCTGTGCTTCTGAACCTGGCATTTAGTACTTCTCCCATTCCCAGCCCCTCCCCCAAAGCCCCCAGACAAAGGGGAACTGACTGGATCATCTTAAAGGGACAGTGTCCCTCCAGCTCTGCTGCCCTCCCCTACCCTTACCCCCAGTCCCTTGTTCCAGTAGATTGGCAAGTGGTCCATGATTATTGCTCTGTGCAGGCCCCAGTGTGGTAGAGGGTTCTCTGGCAGCCCGGGGAAAGAGCTATCTCGCCCAGGTCCCAGGCTCTCCAGTCCACACCTCTTATGGATTATGGCCCTATAGGTGGCCCTATGGAGCCTGGGCCCTCCTACACCTATGACCCAGAGCACCCTAACAGCAGCAGAGCTGGGCAGACCCCCTAGCCTATCTTCATAGATCTATACTGTGGCCAGACATGCCATTCCCATGCATAGGACCCTGGTTAAGGGCTCCAGACCCAGTGGAGCTGATGTCCTACAGGATCACTGGGGGCCCACATTTTTGCCTTTGTTCTTCCTGGCTGGATTGGCCTGCTGGTCTCCATTACACTAGGATGCTTGAGTGGGAAGAAGCCAACCAAGCATGTGTGGTGTGGCACTTAGAGGCCCATATATCATTTCTTCCCATCTGTCCTTCAGAGGCCCCAACAGCCAGGCCTCCCTGGTAGCCTCTAGTAGTGGGGCAGAGGACCTTGGCCAGGAGAACTTGCATACCTGGCCATTCCGTTCCATCCTGCTTTTCTGAGGGAAGGTGGGTTCTAATGCTCTGGTGATAGGGAAGTATGCTGAGCTGTTCCCTGAACCTCTTTGTCACTGGTAGTACCTGTCAGGCTGCTGGAACCTAGGACACCAGAAGATCTTTTGTCCTGACTGCCATCCTGACTGGTCAGTACCGAGCTGAACATCATATCTAGGAACAGGGCCTAGCTCCCATCTGTGGGACCTTGGGCAATATAGACTCTCTGAGGCTCATCTCTAACATGAGGACAGCTATGCCTACCTCTTGGTGGCCTGTTAGGTTTAGGTAGGTTCAACAAAGAAAACATGAAGGTGTTCGCGCCCAGTGGTCCACAGTGCCTCCAGACCTGAGCTGCCTCTCACTGCTAGGGAAGGAGTGCGGGGGGAGATGATAAGACTCAGAAGAGTCCGTCTCACCACCAGAACCCTGGGCTCCCAGCTTCTCGTCCTCCCTCCATGTGGCTGATGTCCAAGAGCAAGTTGCCTGCTCCCTCTCAACCATCATCCATGCATGACAAGTGAAAGAATCTCAGATGAGAAGTAGCCCTCACCCATAGGCTAAAAGGTGGGCCAGGTGCTCTGGGTGTAGGCCACTGTGGGTGGTTTTGAAGGCTGTACACTATGCCAGAGACACTGGCTGATTGGCCACGGGGTCTGAATCCATCCCTCGCTCTACCTGCTATCCCAGTACCCCAGCACAGGTTGTTTCTGCCCAGGGAGCACACCTTTTTCTAGTTCTTAGGAAGGCACCTATAGACTAGGACAGGGCCTAGGTGTGGGAGAGGGTGAGGTGGGCAGGCTTAAGCCCCTACTCCTCTCCACCAGGTGTTGTGAATGCAGCGCCTCTCTCTCGCACCAGTACTATGAGAAAGATGGGCAGCTCTTCTGTAAGAAAGACTACTGGGCCCGCTATGGCGAGTCCTGCCATGGGTGCTCGGAGCACATCACCAAGGGGCTGGTCATGGTAAGCACCCCTTCCCACTGGGGTGGGTGTATGTGTGTATCCTCATCGGCATCATACTCCAGGTCTCTGTCCTATCATCTCTGGTGGTCACATTTTTGCTGATCTTGTTATTCTTTCATACTGTTTGTACTGGATTGTCTGTACTAACCCCTCAGCTCCCTATCTGTGGAACCAACTCTATCTAGGAGCTCAGCAGCTAGCCAGCCAGGTCCCCAAAGTTTGTTCAGGGCTACCATCCTGGATGGAGGGTGGGGGTTGGGGAGCTGTAGGGTCTGAAGTGGCTGTCGAGCTGGGTTGTCCCCATTTCCTCGGCCTACCCAGGTGGCTGGGGAGCTGAAGTACCACCCTGAGTGCTTCATCTGCCTGACATGCGGGACCTTCATCGGTGACGGGGACACCTACACGCTGGTGGAGCACTCCAAGCTGTACTGGTGAGTGCCTTGGCCTCTCTCCAAGCCTAGGGGTCTATCTGTATCACAGGTGTGCAAGGGCACTGTGTTCCTTGCACTTTCCACGTTGTAAGGTTTGAGGTGACAAATGTTCACAGCTCTCTGCCCCTCAGTGGTGTGGAAATGATTGAGAAAGAAGACACAGAGTTAGACTGAGACAGCCTCAAATGTCAGCTTTCTTGATGATATCTGGCTGCAGTGCAGTTCTGACACTAACCACCACAGCTAGTGCAGACCAGACCACACAGACCGAGGACATTTTCCCTATCAAGACTGTCCTGGCTCAGCGCCCTAACTCAGTGGTTAGGGCACCAGCCACATACACCGGGTCGGGTTCAAACCTAGCCTGGGGCTACTAAACAACAATGACAACTACAACAAAAAAATAGCCGGGCAATGTGCATTGTGGCAGGTGCTTGTAAGTCCCAGCTACTTGGGAGGCTGAAACAAGAGAATCCCTTAAGCCCAAGGGGTTGCTGTAAGCTGTGATGCCATAGCACTCTACCAAGAGCGACAAAATAAGACGTTGTCTCAAAAAAAAAAAA